AAATTGGAGAGAGAACAGGAAAGAAAGCGGACCCAACTGAAGTCTCTAAAGCCACGAGGACTGCAAAAGATAGTAACGGGGAGAGACTATTTAACTATGGGGATTTTCTCACAAGCCAGCAAATTAGCAGTTACTTCTCTCCTCTTGCTGCTAAGCGAACTGTCGAGGCAGATCAGCATGATAGTGGGGAGGAGACTCCAGGAGAAGACCTTCAGAATGTACTTATAGTGCACGGAGTTTGAGCAAATTTGGATTTTCACATTTTTGCCGCTAATTTCTGATTTTGCTTGATTCTTGCCGACACTCACTCTTTTAAAAGTTGTGTGTATAACTGCTATGATCAATTATGTCTTCAAATGTACACAATGGAAGCAAAATGTTGAAAGCTTGAGATCTCCGAGTACATAGACATAATCGCCGCGAAAAATGTCACGAAAAGCAATGCCTTTGACAAATTTTAATTGCCTTATGATAATCATAATAATTTTTAATTAGAGTGTCACAGTCACCAAAAGTGTTTGACATCAGTAATTTTCCTTGGAAGATGCCTATAAATTAGTAACAGATGATTTGGCGTTCATGAAAAATTGTCCCCTGAAAAAAATCGTTCCTTGAACAGTTCCTCGATAACTTTCTGGGTACGTAGCTTTAGAAGATGACACCAGCTCAAGAAAATTTCGCTTTAATTATCGTTCGTTTCTTACTTCTCTTTTATTATTCATTTTAGACAAGCAAGGGTCCCGCGCGAAATATGTTTTATCCATGCTTCGTGTCTTCTAACTTCTTTTCAGATCACCAGGTTCGCTAGCAAAATAATACACACTGACACCGCCAAACACCGCAGGAAATTGAACAAGCATAAACACAAGACGGTCGCATGGGGCAGGGGGTGGGCTCGCTCCCTAACAACCTGGGCAAGACAAAAGTGCACTCAGAATTGGAGGTGTTTTGATTGGCTATTTAGAGCTAATGCCAATCAATGTCAGTTCATCGTACAAAGAGGCAGGGGGATCCCCTGGGGGGATCCCCTCGAGGAATTGTGTCACGCGTAAGTCAACTCTAGACAAACCTGATCGCAGGTTTTTTCGCAGTCTGACCCTTTCATCATCAAATTGAAATTTAAAGTCAAGTCGTCTGATAAATTTGAAATTAACAGTATTCTTACAGGAAACCCTCTACGAGAAAGCATAGAAAACACATTGAAAATAAAATCTGAATGTGGTGGTAAAATTTATTTCAGTCATAGTACAAGTAATTTGAGGTTCAAAGATTCTCTTTAATCCCAAATTAGTTGCTCTGGTTGGCATTGATATCGAAGTGGATGAATACGGAAGGTATTAACAGTTACCTCAGTGGTAAAGGTCTTTACTCAAGGAATTGGCTAGGATCATGTTAACACCTTGGCACCTTTTAATATAACTTGGCCTTTAGACTCGATAAACGCAAAAATTGAGCGAAAGTTCAACTCGAAGAAGAACCTGATTCTAAATCTTTTGTAGTCAAGACGCCTAAATTGTATGGCCGAATAACCATTCTCAGTTAAAAGCCTTGCCCTCTCCAAGCTTGTCTACAATACATCTGTACTCACCTTTGGAATTTACATTCAGTTCGATGAGGGCCGCGGCGCCTCCACTGACCTGACCTGACTTGGCCCGAATTCATCTCGAACTCTCTACCCTGGTCTACATGTACCTCCGCTAGTATAGTTAGCACGCCTCACTGAAATAGTGCAAAAACAAAATGTTGCAAGACCACTCAAATGATGGGCAAAATGAACTTTCACAAAGGTTTCACCTATCAAGGAAACGAGCCGTTAACCTTTCAAAGCAGTTCAGTAAAAACAAAGCAGTAAAAACAGTCGAAACAAAGCAGTTGAATAAAAACACATGCTATTTAAACCTTCCAGACACTTGTTTGACCCGGTTACGTTTAATTGGTGTTTAGTTTAACATTGTGGCGTCTTGTTTCTCTCATGTATTATAACAATTACATGGCATCTTGCTCTCAAACTTTAAACGAAAGTGAAGAATGATCAT